ACGCGGCCGGTGTCCTGATCCTGATCGTATTATGGCTAGCTAGGTTAGATGCTATATATGTATACACGCGTTGAATACCTTTACGTACCTTCTTCGAGTGCAGCTATGCGTGGCCGATTGCGACGAGCCGACGAGAATGGAAGCTGGCGAGGATTCTAATTCCTGGACCCGGGGCCGGGCCGGCCGGCAACTTGAAGAGGCAGCTGGGCCAGGCCCCAAACTGCCAAGAATGGAACATCTCGTCTGCTGCATGCAATGCAAGTGGAGCGCCACGTGGCCCCCAGTGGATCACGGAACGTGTCAGGATACCAGCCCGCTGGCAAAGGATTTGTATATACTACTACTAGTAGTGCTTACTACTTTAGGGAGTGGAAATAAAATAAACGTTGCTTAATTAACAAATCTCATGACGTTTCTCTTTATAGAGCGTAGTTAATCCGCGTCCCTCCCGGTGGCTTTCTCGTTCTAGCGCCCGGACGTCCGGGTGCGCCAGCGCGTCTGGACGCTGCTCCCTTTCTCAGACCGCGCAGAATTGAACGGAACCCATCCGCCTCGGCGTATAGAACGAAATAGAGTGGAACCTATCCCTGTTCTCTGCTCCCCACCATGCTCTGTCCCTGTTCCTCGACGCTGTCTCAAAAGAGCACAAAACACTTCAAGTGCAACATTACAAAACATATGGAAAAACTATATAGTGCAACATCGGGATATAAATACTGCAACATCGCAAAAATATGTAGTGCAACATTGAAAAACATGTACTGCAACATTGAAAAAATATGCACCGCAACATCGAAAACTATGTACTGCAACATAAAAAATTATGTACTGCAACATCGAAAAATATGCACTGCAACACTGCAAAATCAACCATAAAACATGGAAATGGGAACATTCGAAAACCATCTGTTGCAACAACCCAAAAATCCCATTGCAACATTCAAAAATTATTTGTTGCAACGTCCCAAAAACCCCTTGCAACAAGGGAGAAAAACAGCAAAAACGTACAAAACAGCAAAATGGTGGATTCGAGGTGCAGGCTGCTCCAGCCCCTGACCCCATCACCTTCGAGTTCGCCGGAGGAAGGATGGAATAGGAACCAAAGCTCGCCGAAACCATAGCCACCGCCGTGTCCCTCAGATCCAGAGAAGGAGGAGGAGGGCTCAGATTCAGAGAAGGACGACGGGTCTCTGGGGAGCGTGGGGTAGTAATGGGGGTCGCGGAGGGGGGAGGGAGGGAGCGTCGACGGGCAGGACGTCCGTCGAGCGCGTCGTGGCAGTGAGGCGAGGTGTGGGGATGGGGGAGCGAACCGCAGAGTGGGGATGAGGATTACGGAGCGTGGAGTGAGAGCGGATGAGGGCAGTCGAGTCGTCGCTCAATCCGGACGGACCGGACACCCGCTGATCATTATCGTTTCTCTGTATGTATGTAATAATAGTGTGTTTTGTGAACCGTACGTCCAAATCCAAAGCAAATCTCTCGTTGTCACGTTGTCGCAACTCTAGCTAAACCGACAGTTGTAGATTTTTTTTTTGTCACGTAAGTAGTATATGAGAATGTCGCATGCATTTCTTATATCTCTATGGGTTGAGAACGATTTTCTTGTGTGCCATATAAATGCGATTCCTGAAAGCCCATTAACGAAATGAAAACGACGTGAGCACAAGTTGACAAGAAAAATCTGAAGCACGTCGAGGACAGCCGGAATGCAGACGAGGCCACCGGTGTGCACGGCCCACCACGCGGCGACGGCGCGTCCGAGTTCTCCCTTGCCCAGTTGCCCCGACCGACGTGAGGGCTTCACCACTGCCACAGCGTAGAAACCGCTTCGCCCTCGTCGTCGTCGCTTGTCGGCAGGCACGTGGGCCGTGGGCGGCGGCCCCTCCACGTGGCTTTCCGGCGACAATGAAAGTTACCATGAACCTATGGCTTGTATCTGGCTTGGCTTATCAGTCAGCCAACAGTGTTTCTCTCTCATATTAAACCAGCCAGCAGTACTTTCAGCCGATGGCTTATAAGTCAATCCAGCCGAAACGAACAGGCTGCTGGAGTAGCCAAATCGTTGAACGAAAATGCCCCTGTTCGCTCGCTGCAGGGCTCCGGGTGTCGGCCACTTGGTGTGGATGTGGCCAAACTGCCCCTGCCCCCTACATGCCACCGCGGCGTGGCCCGGTGCCAGGAAATCTTTGGACCGACTGCCAACATTGGCTCGCGTGTGCTGTAACAAGGGAGAAAAACATAAAAAATGTACAAAACAACAAAAGGATGGGTTCGAGGTGCAGGCTGCTCTAGCCCCTGACCCCGTCACCTTCGATTTCGCCGGAGGGAGGAGGAAATAGGAACCAAAGCTCGCCGAAACCATAGCCACCGTCGTATCCCTTAGATCCAGAGTAGGAGGAGGAGGGCTCAGATCCAGAGAAGTACACCGGGTCTCTAGGGAGCGTGGGGTAGCAATGGAGGTCGCGGAGGGGGGAGGGAGGGAGGGAGCGCCAGCGGGCGGGCGGGCACGACGTCCGTCGAGCACGTCGCGACAGTGCGCCGGGGAGTGGGGATGGGGGAGCGAACGGCAGAGTGGGGATGAGGATGACGGAGCGTGGAGCGAGAGCGGATGAGGGCATCGAGTCATTGCGTGTGCGGCGGCTCAATCCGGACGGAACGGACACCCGCTGATCATTATCATTTCTCTGTGTCTATGTAATAATAGTGGCTCCGTTCGCGTGTCCTTAAACCCGACGTGATCCGCTTCTTTTTTCATCCAGAACAGTGTTTTCTTCTCATAAATTCCTCTAGAATTTCTTCAAATCATCAAAATGCCTCCAGAACCCTACCATCCGAACTGGGCCAGTGTGTTTTGTGAACCGTACGTCCAAGTCCAAAGCAAATCTCTCGTTGTCACGTTGTCGCAACTCTAGCTAAACCCACAGTTGTAGATTTTTTTTGTCACGTACGTAGTATATGAGAATGTCGCATGCATTTCTTATATCTCTATGGGTTGAGAGAGATTTTCTTGCGTGCCATATAAATGCGATTCCTGAAACCCCATTAACGAAATGAAAACGACGTGAGCACAAGTGGACAAGAAAAATCTGAAGCACGTCGAGGACAGCCGGAATGCAGACGAGGCCACCGGTGATGATGGCGACGCCAGCGTGCGTCCGGTGCGCGGCCCGCCACGCGGCGACGGCGCGTCCGAGTTCTCCCTTGCCCCGACCGACGTGACCACTGCCACAGCGTAGAAACCGCTTCGCCCTCGTCGTCGTCGCTTGTCGGCAGACACGTGGGCCGTGGGCGGCGGCCCCTCCACGTGGCTTTCCGGCGACAGTGAAAGTTACCCTGCACCTGGAGTGGCCAAATCGTCGGACGGAAATGCCCCCGTTCGCTCGCTGCGGGGCTCCGGGTGTGGATGTGGCCAAACTGCGCCTGCCCCCTGCACGCCACCGCGGCGTGGCCCGGTGCCAGGAAATCTTTGGACCGACTGCCAGCATTGGCCCGCGTGTGCTGTAACAATAATATTCTACGACAAGATCAAGGCGTGGAAAACTAGTTTATGGTCTTTTGTTTTTGACCAAAGGTAAGTATTAAAGGTTTAAAAGATGGAACACTTGAGTTGAAGCATACTCCACTCCACAAAGGGGAGAAAGGCACCTACTCGTATCTGGTTGATGGAGAAGCGACTGCAACACCAATGCGTGCCTTGTGTTTTTTAGCAATACTAAATCCAAATATTACCCTGCACAAGCAAGCAAACCATCGACTGCGGGCTAGCTTGTCCAAATTCCTAGCTTGCTCATCGACAGCACATATGTGCGATATAAAATAGTATAATAATGCAGCGTATTTGTCTTTAATAATCTTAAAAAATACTCCTATGGAACTGAATACGATGCTCCATGCCTCCATGGTGAATCACATTTTTTTTCTCGATCAGGTGCCTGTATTTTATTAAGCAGACAGGAAGTTTTAAAAGGTTACAACAGTGTTTCCAATCTTGCTAGCGAGCCACCCGCGAGACCGGAACACTAAACAAGCAAGACCATTAAATTAAAATTATACTATATAGCCGTAGAATTGAGCGACTAAGGCGGCGAACCCTGTACCATGAACCTACACGTCAGTCGCAGCTGCACCCTTCCTGCGCCACTACCCGAGAAGAGCGCATGCATTGCCTCCTTCTTCACGGGGCAGAGTGAAGGGGCTTACTGAAATTCTACAAAGAATGCCTGATTTGTCGTGGCTTCAAAGCCTAACCTCTTCATCATGACCTTTCACGCCTGAGCTTCAACAAATTATTGGTGTTTGTTCCTACAAGCACGGCTCGAGAGAGAGACTTTAATTAAGCATGTAATAAATAGGGGACTTTTTTCAGGCTTCGTTTTTCTTTATTTTCTCGCTCAAGTTGCATTACTTTCTCAACGACGCTTGCAGTACCAACCTGCAAATGGCTCTGCCTAATATAAAACTACTACCGGAGGGCAAAATGGTCACTGGGTTAATTAGCAAGTCAAAAGAGCAGAGGATCCCCTTGCCCTTTGCTTAAGCAAGTACATTACGCGTATAGTATAAGCAAAAAGCAACAGCAACAAAAAAACAACTAAAAAAATCGCCAGCAAGATCTGAACTCAGAACAAGGACAACTCCAGGGGCAAGACGGGCATTTTGCTCGTCTCCTCTGTCTCTCTCGTCCCCTACCTCCCTCTGCCCTGTGGCCTGGGCTGTGCAGTTCCTTCATTTGGCCACCTCCTGTCGTCCTCCACGGCAACACAAGCATCCAATGCCTTCCCTCCCGGCCTCCCTCCCTTCTTAATCCCCACCCTAATGCGCCTCACTAACCACTCCCGCCACCACTAAACCCCTTCCCAAAGTCCCAACCCCGCCGCTAACCGCAGCCTCCGGGGCTTACTAAACGCCCACGGTGCCCGGCCGCCAGCCGCCTGCCTGCCTGAAGGAACAGAAGTACAGAACAGAGCCGCGCGCGTGCGGCAGCAAGGGGTGCCGCCGGGATGGACCTCGCGTCGTTCACCACGTCCGTGCTGACGTCGTTCGTCATCTTCGTGGCGCTGGTGCTGGTGTTCACGTGGCTGTCGCGCCGCCCCGGGAACGCGCCCGTGTACTACCCCAAGCTCCTCCTCCGTGGGCTCGACCCGTGGGAGGGCCGCGGGCGCGGCACGCGGAGCCCCGTGGGGTGGATCCGCGACGCCATCTCCGCGTCGGAGCCTGATGTCGTCGCCGCCGGCGGGGTAGACGCCGCCGTCTACCTCGTCTTCCTCTCCTCTGGTACTGCCTGCTCAGTGCTCGCTTTCTTTCTTGCTACTTTTGTTTTCTCCGGCAACTTTGCTTTGGGGAACTCTTTTTCCCCTATAAAATAGGGGCTTATTTGGTTCAGCTGTTCGTTAATTTGTCGGCTATGCACCATTTATAGTATTGTTGGTCCAGGAAAAAAAAACTAATTGCAAGATTTTTTGAAGTTATTTGTTCTCCTGTGATTTGTGGTGTTAGTTGTTATAGGTGCTCCTATAGTGATTCCTCTGTTTTTCGAATCATGCTTTGTTGCTGTCCCTCGTATACTCCTAAAAAGGATTGTTTTAATTTTGTTACCCAAAAAAAAATGTAGGATTGATGAACTAATGTTGGTTGCACGTTATAGGGTTTATTAGTTAAGTAATTTATCTGCGGGTTGTCCTTGAAAAGTTTAATTTTGCAGGAGAGAAAGCCTGTTGAAAAAAAAATACAATTAGGATTGATTTGGGGTTTAGTCAGATATATATTTTTGGACGAATTTTCTGCAATTATTAACAATATTTGACCTTTTTTAAAATTTTGCTCTTGATGTTCCAGTGCTGTCGATCTTGGTGTACTCTGGGATTGTGCTCCTTCCAGTTCTCCTCCCAGTTGCTGCAACTGGTCGTGCCCTAGTTGTCATCCCTCCCAATCCCAAGAATTCATCTCAATCGACTCAGGACTTCTCGCCGATTGAAAGGCTAGGAGTGGGCAATGTTCCTGTAAGTAATCGTTTAACGATTTTTCACAAGTGTGTAATCTTTTAATGGTTTGTCGTAGTTGCATAAATAAGTACAGGATGTTCCAATTACACAGCATCGGTATTGTGGCCTATTGAGATGGCCTTTTCACCAAACCACCTGGATGAGTCCGGAAGCATTTGGTTCAACCCATAGCATGATCTAGACCATAATTACTAGGTCATTAATCACATAATCGTAGCTGTAGTTATTCACACGATCAAATGCATCAATTTAATAATTGTCCATCACCTCTTCAAACATCCTAATTGTGGTTGTTACTTCGTTTTCAACAACAAAAAAAGAGAGCAACTTGTAACAGAATCTCCTTGCTACTTACTCTTTTATCAGGCCCATCAGTTTTTTCTTTTCTGTCGAGATGAATCTGAGCATCTGTGATCATTCTTCCTCAGATCAGTACCAAACTAGTTTCAGCTTGTTGTGTTTTAATTCTCTACTTCTTAATTGATTGGCAAAGCTCCTGCCTTTTGTTCAAAAAGAAAAAGCTACGTCTGCTTGGAAAAGAAAGTTACAGTTTCATGGACAACTGGCTTGTATCGTTTTTTCTCAAGACTTTCTCAAATTACAATTGTATGTTACTGATATTGGAAACTCAAAGAAAACCGTAAGCTTGATTGAAATTGTCTTGGACCATTAATATCTGCAGTAACTGGTGTTTGCAATAAAAAAGTGTCAATAAACACAGGCTTTCCACGTCCTGGTTATGTCGGGTTTGCGTGCGTGCGTTCATAGGGGTGAGTGTGCGTGTGTTGTGTCTGTGTTGTACTGTGTAATCACAAAAAATTGTTAGGGGTCCAGTGTCTTGAATGTTGTTTTATTCACAGTACAACTGATCTCTGCATGTCTTTACAACCTCCGCAGGAAGGAAGTATGAGGCTGTGGGCATTTCTGTTGTCAGTCTACTGGGTTTCCTTTGTCACCTATTTCGTCCTATGGAAATCCTACAAGCATGTGTCAAATTTGAGAGCTACTGCAAGATCAACACCAGATGTTAAACCAGAGGAGTTTGCGGTGTTGGTGAGAGATATCCCTAGACCGTCTCCAGATGAAACTATAAAGGATTTTGTAGACTCATATTTTCGAGCACTTCACCCAAATACTTTCTACAGATCAATGGTTGTGACAGATCACACAGAGGTACTTCTACTCTTGAATCTTGATATATATAGAAGGATTGCTTCCCCGTTGTCCTTTTGTTATGTTTTTCATGTCTGCTTGTAAGACATGTCTAAAAATACCCCCACAGAAAAAGAAACTGAACTTTATTCTATTTTGATCACATTGCATTGCAGGCTGATAAAATATACCAAGAGATCGAAGGTCACAAGCAGAAAATTGCTCGTGCTGAAGTCGTATATGCAAACTCGAAAACTGAAAGTAATCCTGAGGGCACAAAGCCTACTCATAGGATTGGATTCCTTGGTCTTATTGGTAAAAAGGTTGACACAATTGAATACTGTAGTGAGCAGATTAAGGAATTACTGCCCAAACTGGAGGCTGAACAGAAGACTACCCTTCATGAGAAACAGAAGAGGGCTGCCATTGTCGTCTTCAATAGCAGATCTGCTGCAGCTTCTGCATCTCAGACTCTCCATGCTCAAGTGTATGATAAATGGACAGTTATGGAAGCTCCTGAACCATGTCAGATACTATGGCCCAACCTTCTGAGGAATCTATATGAGAGGCAAATCAGACAGTCTGTGGTCTACGTTATTGTCTTTCTCATTGTTTTTTTCTATATGGTTCCTATCGCTGTTATCGCTGCTGTTACAACTCTCGAAAACCTGGAGAAGAAGCTGCCCTTCCTGAAGGTAGTGGTGGAACAACCAGCAATCAAGACGGTCTTGGAGGCTTACCTTCCCCAGATTGTGCTCATTGTGTTCCTCGCTTTGCTACCTACTCTTCTTATGCTTCTCTCAAAACAAGAGGGGATCCCTTCGCAGAGCCATGCAGTCAGGGCGGCATCAGGAAAATATTTCTATTTCATTGTTTTCAATGTCTTCCTCGGTTATACACTTGGAAGCACATTATTCAAATCTTTGACAACCATTCTCGATCACCCTCCTGAGATTGTGGATATGCTTGCCAAGAGCCTGCCTGGAAGTGCAACATTCTTCCTTACATTTGTCGCGCTGAAGTAATTCATTTGTCTCACTTTTTCAGTTACCTACTGCCCAATTTTCAATCTTAACATCTTTAAGTTTGACAGCAGCTTTACACCATAACTCTTTGACTGTTGTTATTGACAGATTCTTTGTTGGCTATGGGCTTGAGCTCTCTCGCTTGGTTCCTCTCATCATTTTCCACCTGAAAAGGAAGTACCTATGCAAGACGGAGGATGATGTGAAAGCAGCATGGGCTCCAGGAGACCTGGGATATAACACCAGGGTCCCAAATGACATGCTCATCGCAACAGTTGTTCTGTGCTACTCAGTCATTGCACCTTTGATTATTCCATTCGGTGTTGCATACTTTGCCCTTGGATGGCTTATAGCGAAAAATCAGGTGAGCCAGGTGTCATTGAGTTTTACAGGAGTACAGCATTGGTATTCAGTTTGTTAATTAATAATGTAATTTTCTATGCTGTTTTGGGGAATTATTTCTTCCATAGAGGGTCTCGTTTTGTTAATTGGTTGTTTGGTGACGTTGGTGATTGATTTCTCTACCTTTTCCAATGCAGATTCTGAGAGTTTATGTTCGTAGCTACGAGAGCTACGGACGAATGTGGCCACACATGCACACGAGGATCATCACGGCTCTGATGGTTTACCAGACTACCATGATCGGCTTCATCCCTCTGAAAAAGTTTCACTATGCACCTATTCTTGTGCCCCTGCTTCCAATAAGCATCATCTTCGCCTATGTCTGCCATATGCGCTTTTACCCAGCATTTGCCAAGACTCCTCTGGAGGTGGTGGCGCAGCACGACCTGAAGGAAACTCCAAACATGGAAGCCATCTACACCTCATACATACCTCTGTGCTTGAAGCCCGAAAAGCTCGAAGACTTGGATGCATTTGAGGATGCTCAGTCGCACTCCACCTCTAGAGCCCCATCTGTTTAGCTGTGCAATCTAGACTGTCGGAAAAGACTGAAGAAATTCTTCACACCTGTCGTCAAGTTCATGCAGGATTTCTGGTGAATTTCCATGCTTCCACGTGAACCCTCTGAACCTTAGTTTCAGCATAGGAATCTGATGTGAAATGTACATATGCTCGACCTATTTGTCTGCTGAACATCAGAACATGTGTGGACTATTGTAGGTAGCAGCTGTGGATATTCTAAGTTTGTCTTAGTTTCCATCCATGCGCGTGTGTTTACTGTAGACTATCTGCCCTGTTGCTGTGTAGGATTACTGTGAGTTGGCTTGCCTGATGCTCTGCTCTGTAACTCCATTTAACAGAACTACTCATATATTATTGTAAGCTGTTGATGAAGTTCATACTTTCGAGTGGGGTATCTATCGGATCTTGGTTGATTGCCTTTATATTCAGTATAACTAGTTGCAGTATCAGTGCCCTGTTATTCTGCTGGTGCTGTTTGTTTGATTCTGATGTCCATGAGAATTGAGTAGTAAAACTTGCATTACCAAAACGCTGCTGGTTCTGTTTGTTTGATTCTGATGTCCATGAGAATTGAGAAGTAAAACTTGCATTACCAAAACGCAAGCAATGTCAGCTATAGATCTTATGTAATTTTGTTGAATGCTCATTTGCTGCTGGACACCAAACTGGACCCTGCACCAAATATACACAAAAAAATACTCATATTTGGTGTTCTTTTGGTTGTCCTGCCAGTCTGTCACCTCGTGACAAAGTTCAACGTGCTGGTAAAATCTGTCTTTACTTAGCCTTCTAGGAATCTATGAGCAAAATTTTGTCAAAATTTCGGCCTCCCATTTCAGAGTCCAATTTTAAAATCGTTCCAAAGAAATAAAGAGTCCGATTTGAAAAACTGATCAACCAACAGGGATCGTCCGCGGCAATTTGACGTGAACACGCAGCAGCTCATCGCGTCTTTTCCTTCCGAAACCGCACGGAAGCCGAGCGCGCCTCATGCTTGATGTCGGCGCCGGTGGCCGCACGCCGTCGACGCACCCGGCGCTGCGCCACTGCGTCGCGCTCCTCCGCCTCCACCTCGCCGCTCCCTCCCTTGCCACCGCCAAACAGCTGCACGCGCGCACCCTCCGCGCGGGCGTGCCGCCCGCGCACCCGCTCCTCGCCAAGCACCTCCTCTTCCACCTCGCCTCCCTCCGCGCCCCTCCCCTCCGCTACGCCGTCGCCGTTCTCACCCGCGTTCTCCCCCACCCGGACCCTTTCTCCCTCAACACCGTGCTCCGCATGGCCGCGTCCTCTCCGCACCCTTCCCTCGCGCTCGCGCTCCACGCCCGCCGCCTCGCGCCGCCGGACACGCACACCTACCCGCCGCTCCTCCAGGCGTGTGCGCGCCTCCTGTCGCTCCGCGACGGGGAGCGCATCCACGCCGAAGCCGCCAAGAACGGGCTTGCCACGCTCGTCTTCGTCAAGAACTCGCTGGTCCACCTCTATGGCGCGTGTGGCCTCTTCGAGAGCGCGCACAGGGTGTTCGACGAAATACCCGTCCGCGAGCGCAACCTCGTCTCCTGGAACTCGATGCTCAATGGGTTCGCGGCCAATGGACGCCCCAATGAGGTTCTCACCATCTTCCGGGAGATGTTGGACGTGGACTTCATGCCAGATGGGTTCACCATGGTGAGCGTGCTGACAGGGTCTGCTGAGATTGGCGCGCTTGCTCTTGGGAGGAGGGTGCATGTTTATCTGACGAAGGTTGGGTTGGTGGGGAACTCACATGTTGGTAACGCCCTGATTGATTTGTATGCCAAGTGTGGCTGCGTCGAGGATGCAAGGAGGGTGTTTGAGGAGATGGGGACAGGGCGAACCGTTGTCTCCTGGACATCGTTGATTGTAGGCTTGGCGGTGAATGGTTTTGGGAAGGAAGCACTAGAGCTGTTCGGTGTGATGGAGAGGGAGAAGCTTGTGCCGACTGAAATCACTATGGTAGGAGTACTGTATGCTTGCAGCCACTGTGGACTGGTTGATGATGGGTTTATGTATTTTAATAGGATGAAAGAGGAGTACAGCATTGCACCAAGGATTGAGCATTTAGGATGCATGGTGGATCTGTTGGGGAGAGCTGGTAAAGTCAAGGAAGCATATGATTATATCCTCACCATGCCACTGGAGCCCAATGCTGTTGTGTGGAGGACCTTGTTGGGTGCTTGTGCAATGCACAAGAAGTTGGAACTTGGGGAGGCTGCTTGGGAACGACTGGTTGAGCTTGATCCAGGGCATAGCGGAGACTATGTTCTCCTCTCGAACCTTTATGCTGCTGTTGGGAGATGGGCCAACGTTCATGTGCTTAGGAAAACAATGGTCAAGGATGGAGTGAGGAAGAACCCTGGGCGCAGCCTTGTGGAGCTCCGCAACTCTGTGTATGAGTTTGTTATGGGTGATAGGTCTCATCCGGAGAGTGAACAGATATACCAAATGCTTGCTGACATAGCTGATAGATTGAGACGTGAAGGTTACATCCCACGTACAAGCAATGTGTTGGCAGATATAGAGGAGGAAGAGAAAGAGACTGCCTTGAACTACCATAGCGAGAGGTTGGCCATTGCATTTGCCTTGTTGAAGTCTCTTTCTGGTACTCCTATCAGGATAGTGAAGAATTTGAGGGTGTGTGGGGATTGTCACACTGCAATTAAGCTAATATCAAAGATTTATGACCGGGAGATCATTGTGAGGGACCGCAGTAGGTTCCACCATTTCAAAGGTGGATCCTGTTCATGTAAAGACTATTGGTAGTTGATCAGTGCATGGGTTAACTGTCCTATGATCAGAAAAGTTGCGCTAAGTTCAGGAGTGGCAAGTCATATATGGATTCAGCCCCGGCACTCAATTTCTGTTGACTGTTGCACTAGAGGGGCAATGTTGAGACAGCCTCATATTTAAGTCTCTTTCTGGTACTCCTATCAGGATAGTGAAGAATTTGAGGGTGTGTGGGGATTGTCACACTGCAATTAAGCTAATATCAAAGATTTATGACCGGGAGATCATTGTGAGGGACCGCAGTAGGTTCCACCATTTCAAAGGTGGATCCTGTTCATGTAAAGACTACTGGTAGTTCATCAGTGCATGGATTAACTGTCCTATGATCAGAAGAGTTGCGCTAAGTTCAGGAGTGGCAAGTCATATATGGATTCAGCCCTGGCACTCAACTTCCGTTGACTGTGCACTGGAGGGGCAATGTTGAGACAGCCTCATATTTTATGGGTTGTATTATCACATCCCGACTCTTAAATTTTCAAATGAAAGATGTTTTCAGATACAGAAAGAACTAGGTTGAGACCTTCATTTTTATCATACTTCCCTACCTTGTAAAATTGTAGATGATACAACAAATTATAATTTTGATTCTGTTTTATTCTTCTCACTAAACAAATTAATGTGTGAACCGTATGTTCCAAGCATATTAAGTTTGACTCTGGTTCGAAAGAGGTACTCGCTAGTTTCCCTTGGTTTGGTGAGTAAATAAATATAAACGTTCGCATGTGTCCACCTGCTTGATACAGATCTGAATCTTGATAGTAGGTCTGCATGAAATGATCAGGCCATGCTTTGGCAACTTTTGTTCCTACAACATCAATGCAAGACTGATGGGTCCCTTATAATTTACAACCTTCTAAAGCTTCTAGAGAGCAAGGCTAGAATATAACTGCTTTCTTCATGACACCATGCACCAAAGGTTAGCTTAGTGTATATATATACACCCTTTTTAACCTTGTTTAATGGATGTTGCTTTTATTTCAGCTGTTTCAGCTCATTGGGATTGCCACTTACGTTTTGGGAATGCCACTTTAATTCCAGGTGCGACTCAAGCAAAAAAAAAAAGGAATAGCTTTTTTCCTTGTAATCCTGTTCGCGGAACCACCTTCATTAGGCTTCAGTCTTTGTAAAGGTTTTCCCTTACAGAACTACTTCCCTGTCCTTTATTATTTTTGGAAAAAAAATTCAGCGCCACCGACAGATCATCATCCTTCATCGTTCTATTTCAGAATTACAGTTTTGTCCCCAGTGCGGCACAGGAAAAAAAAAAAGACTCGAGCTTTTTCCTTGGGTCCTTACAATCTGGTTCACAGAAACCCCTTCATTAGGCTTCAGTCTTTGGAAAGTGAAGGTTCTTCCCTTAATACACAAGGAAAGCTCTTCCTCATTAAGCCCCAACCTGTGCTACCATGAAACAACAAAGAAAAGGAATAAGAACATGCACTTGGCCCCTTCACATCTCATGGAATCTGCTGCCTACGTTTCCTTTTGTCCCTTCAGAAATCATGCCCATGCATGCATATCAGGATAAGAATCTCATGGTTTCCTGGCCTTCAAGTCATTCCCCTCAATATTATAGTGTATTCATAAAGGTCCTTGTGCTGGTTGTACAATCTAAGAACTGAGATGCTGATATAATCCTTTATAGCCTACCTTGCTTCAGGCATGCTGCGAGAACTGCAGTAGTGCAGTACTACCACCTTAGGCAGTCCCAATGATGTATTGATGATGGTTTCTATCCTCATTAAATGACTTGCCACGTAGGCAAAATACTGACATGGCAACGTAGTTAATGAAGAAAGAGAGCAAAAATCATATAAATGGTTTCCTCATGAAGAAACCAGGTCTTCTCTTGACCCAATGCACCAAGAAACCATGAAATCGCCATTGGGGAGAAATCACTAGTTTCTAGGGAGCTCGTGCCGCACTCCCATTGGAGGAAGAAGATAGAGTTGGGAGAGAGAAAGAGAAAATAATTATTACTCATATAAACCATGGGTTGGAAAGCAGTACTTTTTTTTTTGTGCGGTATCCTATGTTATAGAAACTACTAGTTTCTTTTATTGGGACTGCCCTTAGTAAATCATCTGCATGCATGCTCTTTAAGTATGATAAAGCTCTCTAATTTCTTCTTATTCAATGGGAAAAGCATCAAATGCTAGTAGTAAATTGTGTTAATTATAGTCATGTTAGTCAAACTGAGACCAAATAGGCTGATGTTCCAATAGACCGGTCCTCTGTTAGATGCAAAGTGCATCTCTCTCTGCACAATGGCCCTTTATGCCACTTTCCATGCCACCTCTCTGTGGTGGCCATAAATATGCACCATAGCGAGCACCCTGGGGTGCTTTCCGAGTGCACGTCTTGCTTAGTGACCCAAGTGTAATATGTAAGACATAATCTGCTGCTGATCTCTTTCTTTCTCCTGCTGCAACAGAGTTGGCATTTGGTCAGCTCGGCTGTCCAGTCTCTACTGCTGTAGCAGTATGGCAATAGGTCACCTCTAGTACATTAGTTGATAGCTATTACATCAGCAATGTCTTGGTAGTGGGCTGATCTAAGCTTTGTACTGCTAGTACTAGGAGTAGTTGGTGTACCTTAGTAGTAGGTAGTTGGTGTACTCACCAACAACTATGTACCTGGTAGAGGTACTAGCACTTGTATATATATCACATCTAAGGCAATGCAAAAGAGCAGTTCAGTTTGCCACATCCAGAAGCAGAGCTTTCGGCCAACGCTGGGCATGTGCTGTGTGTGTGAGCTGTTCTCAATATCTTCTTCTACCTCTAACTATAGTGAGTGAATGTGCTGATAAGCTTACTGCTTACCTGTGCAGGGCAGTCGAGGGACCAATAAGTGGTATCAAAGCCGTACAAGCACCGTCGCTAGACTAACCGCTGGTGATGACGGACGGTTCGGAGAAGGGCGACAGCAGCGGTGCTGTTGTGGCTGTCCAGTCACGACAGGAGGTCGTCGTGCGCACGGTGCGGGAGATCAACGGCACCAGTTAGCCGATGCTGACTCGCACCAACTATGACGAGTGGGCGGTGACCATGAAGGTCAAGCTCAGAGCCTAACGACTCTGGAATGCCATTGACAAGGGCACGAACAACAACGAAGAAGACGACATGTCAGCGTTGGAGGTTATCCTCGCTGCTGTGCTAGCGGAGTACAGGGAGTCGTTGGGGGCGAAGAACTCTGCTAAGGAGGCGTGGGAGGCCATTGCAGCGATATGCGTTGGCTCCGACCGCGCAAAGAAGGGGACGGCCCAGCTGCTGAAGCAGGAGTACGCCAACCTCAAGTTCAAGGATTGTGAGTTGGTGGAGGACTTCTCCCTCCGCCTGCAGTCGCTCATCAGCAACCTGAGGAGCCACGGCGTCACCATCGACGAAGAAGAGGTGGTCTCCAAGTACCTCCACTCCGTGCCGGTGAAGTACATCTAGATCGCTCTCTCCATAAAGACGATGCTGGACTTGTCCACCCTCATCATTGAGGATGTGACAGGCCGTCTGCGGGCGGTGGACGAGTGCATGGAGCAGGCCACAACAACGACGGACAGCGACAAGCTGCTACTGACAGAGGAGTGAGCTGCTCGGATGAAGGAGAAGAAGTCCGGGGAAGCCTCCTCTAGCTCCGGATGAAGGAGTGAGCTGCTCGGATGAAGCCACGTCAGCAGGACCGAACACTGAACAATGTTCAGCTAGAATCCGGTCACCTGCGTCCGGTCTCAGGCCGAGAGTAGCCCGAGCACACCACTGATTTTATAAATGAAAGGACGCTGCTCCCCCGAGTCCGGTCACCACGTGACCGGCTTTCGGTCACTGTTTTTCAGTGACTGTCACCTTCTTCACTTCACCAACTTCTCCACCCTTGCTCAAATGTGCCAACCACCAAGTGTACCACCTTGTGCACATGTGTTAGCATATTTTCACAAATGTTTTCAAGGGTGTTAGCACTCCATTAGATCCTAAATGCATATGCAATAAGTTAGAGCATCTAATGGCACTTTGATAACCGCATTTTGATACGAGTTTCACCCCTCTTAATAGTATGGCTATCGGTCCTAAATGTGATCACACTCGCCAAGTGTCTCGATCACTAAACCAAAAAACTCCTATCAATTTCACCTTTGCCTTGACCTTTTTGTTTTTTCTTTCTTCTTTTCCAAGTCCAAGCACTTGATCATCACCATGGCATCACCATCATCATGATCTTCACCACTTGGAATAATGCTACCTATCTCATGATCACTTAGATGAACTAGGTTAGCACTTAGGGTTTCATCAATTTATCAAAACGAAACTAGAGCTTTCAATCTCCCCTTTTTGGTAATTGATGACAACCCTTACACAAATATATGAATTGAAATTTAATTGAATCAATGTTGCTTTCCCAAGCATATTTACCATGTGTAAAAAGATATGGACAAGTTTTATGAACCCCCATATGGTAACAATTGCTCCCCCTACATATGTGCTAAGAGTTTGGATTATAGCTTTCACATATGCTTAGATAGGAAATATAGGAGACAATGTCTACCAAATGATGCTAATGTATAAAAGATGGACCTTTGAAGCGTGATACCAATCGGAGTGCATCAATATACCATCCTTAACACCATTAGTAACTAGACATACACAAAAACTAGAATACTCCATGAGATCAACATTAGAAGCAAGGGTCTAGTTTCCATAAAATGAACATAAGTCTAGTTTCTTAACCTATGCATGCTAGTTTTTCATTTCATCATTCAACCCTACTACTTGCATACACCACACAAGTATGGATATTGAAATTTAAAACTTGTGACATGCAAGCAAATTTATGAAATGCACATTCAAATGCACCATACAAGTTCATGAGCTTGCTCCCCCTACTTGTGTGCTTAAAATTTTAATTGATCCCCTTCCATTGTCATATCTCCCCCCTATGTTAAATTCTCCCCCTATCACTTATATCTTTGATTCTCTCCCCCTTTA